TCAGGCGTGATGATATAGCTGATTTCTTATGTGATCTTCCTGCTACATGGGAAGGCAGCCAAAGCAGTGTGTTTTATAGTGAAGGCACATGAAGACTTGCAAGCCAGTGTGTCCCTTGTGGGGGCTTTGTATGTATGGGCAGAGCAGGATACAAGGGACTTCTCATGTCATAGGTCCTTAGAAGCAGTTTCAGCATTTAACAAGTCACTCAGCTAGTAATGATTTGAGAGCTATGTGTTAGTTACTATTGCAACGGTATGGCCAATGCAGATGTAAAAATGAAGCAAAATACTCCTGATTCTGTTTCTTAATAAACCCAGGAAAATAAAAGGCAGTATTTTAAAGGGCTGCTGAAGGTTGAGTCATTGGAGGATGCAATCGATGGTGAAATGTCCTTTTTAAAAAAAATAAAAAAAAAGAGAGAAGAATCAGCTTTCCTAAACATGCCTACACATCTGCTGACCATAAGTGAATGCGGGTAGTTCCTTAACAGGTCTTAAAAATAAATGCCTTTATGCCACATATAGAGGACAGTGATACCTTTCCTCTGTGTCGCTGAGATCAGCTGCCTCCCCTCTTGCGTGAGCACCCCAGCTGCTTGGTCAGGTCAGACCATTCAGTCACCCCTGCTGGCCAGCATCTCAGCACAATATCCCTAGCACAGGGATCACTAGCAGGCATGTCCCTAGATATGAACACATCCCTGGATGTGTACATAAATGATATGAACACATCTCTAGTATTATGTGCTAAGCAAGCCTGCAGAGTATTTTGTATGTCTTTGATTTAAAAGTAATAGAACACTTAAGCATCGGTTCTCCCTTCCCCCAATTAGTCTGTAGTCTTATGAAGAAAAATGTAGACAGTGAAATGGTGTCGAGTGGCCAAGAGAAAAGAGGATTCTCAGCTGAACTTCCATGATGTTCCTCTGTCTGGCTCTGCTGCTGCGTTGTTACAGAACCATTGCTTGGGGTTTGTCTTGTAGGCCTCTTGCTTTCTTGCAGATCATCAGAGCTTTGTCCATTGTTGAACTCGGTATCAGTGCCTCACTTAAGGTCAGGATGTGTGTGTATGTTTGTACTTTTGTTTTTCTTTTTGATATCCTTCTCTTAAAGGGCTAAGTACTGTATTTTAGTACCCACTGTTTAGCAGCTTTCTTGAAAGAATTGGTACAGGCAGTGAATGTTAATATTCAGTGTAGGATTCAACTTCAAAATAGGCTGTCTCTTGGTACTGGAGCTTCTGGAATCTGCAAAAATGAGTTCCTAATTGAATATGTTGAGCATGTGTATTTATTATACAGCCTCTTTCATGACTGGCATCATAGAAAGCCCAGAAAAGGAGGCGGAAGCTATGAGTCACTTAGATGAGTGATAATATCTCTGCTTCTCTGTGGCAGCTGCTTCATTGAGGGTAGGTATTTGCACATTTTGACTTCCAGGAGAGTGTCATTTCAGTATAAACAACATCACTCTTCTACTTTACCTCCACTCTCCAGACTGTTTGGCTGGCCTTGCCTTTTGGCCTTGTAGTTTTTCTGTATAGGTGTTGCAACAGTAACTTACTGATGGGCATAATTATGTCTTCGATAATTTAGCAGCCTCTGTCACAACAGATGAGGTCAAAACAAACCTTATGATGGTTTATTCAGTACCAGAGTTTAGTGTGTTAATTTAGTTTTAAGAAACTATGGCAAGTATGGCTGCAGGTTGCAGCTGGGACAGTTTCACAGAATGGGTAGTATCAATTTTAGTAGCTGGGATTATTAAATCCTGTTTGCATCCAAAATAAAGGAGACCTGAAGATGGAATTCACGGTTTGTTAGAGCAGGGAGATGGGGAACTGAGCTCCCTTTATGGGATCTGGTATGTTACCTGCACATCAAGTCTCTTGGAGCACTTGTTAGTGATGGCTCTGAAGATGCATTCCTGGGAGATGACTTTTAAACTAGTGGAAGATGCCCAGGCTAAATTTCTGCAGAGATCCCTGTACTTGGCTGTGGTTCTTTCTTGTTTGGTTGGTTTCTTGTTCAGAGGCTCAAGTATGATCTGGAGAAGTTGATATTGAGAAAGTCATTGTCTCCCTGATGACTCGTACGTTTGCTTTTCCGCTGAGCTCTGCAAACTGTGGCAG